GTTTATGCCTTCATTCCCACATAGTTCCTCCTTTATATTCCTTCTGAGCTCTTTTTGAGTGCTTTGGCAGAATATTTGAAAGTCTGAATTTTGTTTTCAGCACTTTCTGGTTGTATTTTTTGAAAAGTTGTAAGATAGAATTGAAATGTGAAAGGCATTTGGGGAAGAAATAAGAGAAACTGATATTTCACAGTAGTAAAAATGACAGTACAAGGTCATCAAACACCTAATTTGCATACTACCAGCCGTTTCCTGTGGGAGTTATAAGATGATGCATAAGTAATTCACTGTACTGCCAATAGTCCAGAAAGAATTTGTGAAGATCCTCATCTTTGTCTTTCAACCACAAATAGTGAAGTTGTAGAAATTGGTTCTTTGTCAGAGACTGGTGGTGAATATATTAGATTGAATACTTTATACTCTGAACTTGGACATCTATAAATTATAAAACAATTTCAGTAATTGGATTTTGGTTTGGAAACCCTTAAAGTATTGTTGAACATATCCTGTTAAAAAGTTATATCCTTTAATAATAACCCTTCTTTTTTCTTTTACTTACTTTTTAGTCTATTTGTATTCTGAGAAGGAACTTCTTTGTTATAATCAGTTCTCCATCTTTGTTGTTGGCTCTGGAGGGTTTGGTGGAAAACGAACATCCGACAAAGCTAAGGTAGGCAATAGCTTTATTGAGACAAAATATTTGTGTAGTTAAGGATCCTTACATATATTTTGAACTTAATCGTATTACCATATGTATAATTTCATAGAGTAGAATAGAGTAATCCATTCTTCTTTGAAGCAGAAAGTGTTTCTTATATTTGAAGTGGCATTTATGTTTATATATACATATATAAACACACACATACTTACGTATATATATGTGAAAACATGTAACATACAACATTTATTATATTGGAAAGTCTTACTAAATTAAGTTTGATGTGACTGAGATAATTATGACAATATTTGTTACTTTCTTGAACAAGCTTTGTAGTACCCAAAAATATTTAGAAAGACTTATCACATACAAGTGATCTTTGTAGAGGTTAAAACCTTCATTAATTTAATGACTTGGGTAATTACCTTGTGTAAGTTAATCTTAGTCACTCTTTAATTCTCAAATAATAACAACATTTTTCTTAGAAATATTTTATAATTCAGGTTTTATACTAATTTAATCTGACCTTTACCTCTAATTTATTTGAGGTAATAAAAATTATACTTTAGTAAATATTATTCTGTAGTAAATGCAGTATAATTCAAAGCACCATTGAGAGTGGACTTCTGCAATGGCAGCATGAGAAACTCTTTGGATTCTCTCTCCCCAGCAAAATAGCCATAACTGGTAAAAAAAAGTCATAAAATCAAAACAAAAAACTAACTATATGAAGTCACTGGAAATTACCCAAGGACATACAGTAAATAAAAAACAAAACAGAGAAAACATTCAAGGAAATATGCTATATCCTGGTAAGAACAGTGAGAGTCTGTGGCTTTTGAGCCACAACCCATCCCCCTCCTCTCTTCTTCCCCAGCTCAACAGATGCCAAACACTCTACTCTAGGCAGGTGTGGCCAAGAACTTAGAATCCTCTCCCCATAGTTCTAAGACTGTGGTCATGCTATCTTCCTGTCAGGGGTAAACTATAAGCTTTTCTAACTACTCCCTTTGAGCAGCTCCATGTTGCAGAAGCTCTATTACAGGAAAACTGACCTTTGTGGGGCTTTCTTCCTGCATCTAGCACCAACTTGTAGAGTGGAAGTTCTTGTAGGCATAGGAGGCTGAGATTACTAGGATCCTGGTCACCCTTGCCTAAGGTCATTACTAGACTAGGGGTTTCATGGTGGGATAGGCAAGGTGAGAAGACCAGAGGCTATCATCTCTGCCTAGCACCCTTCTCAAAAACGAATGTCATTACAAGAGAAGTGGACCATTATTTTTAGCCCCATCTCTCTAGCAGTAATGTGGAGCTTTTAGCTAGAGGAGAGGCAGGCAGGCTTTAATAACTAAGAGCTCTGAAGCTGTTCTCAAGGGAACTCAATTGTTTTGCAGCAGAGTATGGAGAAGTTCAAGCATAAGAATATTCTTAAAAACAATGACGATTTTAGTGGCAAACAATTAAGAGAAGGCTAGTAGGTCCGTGAGAGCTACAAACTAAACTGTAGCCCAGTGAGACGTTTATAAGGGAGAGAAGCAGAAAAAGAGCTATGGAGAACTCTCCAGAGGTGGGACATCAAAGACTTGCCTCCAGCACTGGCCTACAAAGAGGCCTGAATTTAATTGGAATAAATCAAAGCCAAACTCACTGTCGTGGAGTTGGATCCAAGTCATAGCGACCCCTCCTTGGCTTTCTGAGGCAGTATCACTACGGAAGTAGATTGCCCAACCTTCCTTCTGAGGAGTGGCTGGTGGGTTTGAACCGCCAGCCTTCTGG